TCGGGTCGCACACGGACGCCCGCCACCCCGGGTCGCAGATAGCAGGCCCGGATGGCGACAGGGCAGGCGGGATGGCGCTGTCCCGCCCTGCCTGCAGTATGCAAATTAGCTGCCATCTTTGTTGGCGGTTAATTTGCATATCACGCTGATTAGCCAATGGGAGGCGTAGTGAAGGTATGGTCAATTACCATGTTCATCTATTATTAGGTAGGACTAGAGGCCCAGTGCACAAAAATTCGTGAACTCGGGGGAACAGGCGGTCTCCTCAGCACGGCCTGTGCCCTCTTGCAGTCCCAGGACCCCCTGGGGGATGTCCCTCTCCCTGGGGGGATCGGGCCTAAGCTGGCAGTCAGGCATCCCTCTGACAGCCCGGGAGCCCTCAGGGGATGTCCGACTGCAGCTTAAGCTTAGTGTTGCCTGCCGCAGAGGCAGGAGAGGCTCCCACCACCGCTGCTGTGCTCACAGCCGTTAGCCCGGCTTGTGGCTGAGTGGAACTCTCCCTGTGGGAGTGCACTGACCACTAGGAGGCAGCTACTGCATTGAGCGTCTGCCCCCTAGTGGTCAGTGCACATCATAGCAACCAGTCGTTCCTGGTCGTTCTGCCATTAGGGTCAATTTGCATATTACCCTTTTATTATATAGGATTTTTACTGTACCTTTTCTATGTTTAGTCTTCCACTCAGTGTTCCCTCTCTGTCAACAAAACCAACTGTATATGCATCCAACTAGGTCCACTTGAGTTTTTCCCACACATCTAACCCCCTGAGGGAGAGTCAGGGGAACCAACAGGAACCTGAAACTTTGGCTATTGCTTTTGCCTGAATTTTAAAAAATCCTTTGTTTCTAATCCAGGCATCTTGTATCTTCTATCAACATCAATAAAACAGTAACAGGCTAGCTTGTTAGCTTGCAAGTAGGGTAAAATCTCAGACTTTTCATAGTTCTTAACAGGTATTATCTACTAAATTGAAGATACATAAAGTATAATCCAGCAATTCCACTCCTAATTTGATATTCAAAAGAAATGCATGTAATGTATACTAGGAGACGTATTTAAGAATGTGACAGCATTTTTTTACTTTATTCCTCATATTTGTGTTTACGTTTTCTTTTTATTCCTCTCTCTCAAGGCTAAAATGATCCATGTGGTAATCAGTATGAACTCATTGGCAACATCAATATGAACTCATTGTTAGCTTGATATAGATACAGATGAATATACATAGAAATACTTATACATATGTGTATATACATGGATTAGTATACACTAGTATACACGCATTAATTTCTTTGCTTTGTCAGTTGAGAGAGGTCTAAAAGAAATGATACGCTAGCCAGACTTTGGTTTCTAATACCTTTCTCCGATAAAAGGAATGATGGTTCCTTGGAGAAATGGTTGATTCTAGGATGGGACATGAAATATGCATGATGAGCCTAGAGTATTTTGTAATGCCAGAAATTAAGGAAGTGATTTAAAACAAAAACAAACAGAAAAACCCCACATTGAGAGGGGTATGTCAAAAGAGTGGCGGAACAAACTGAAAGTGATCCCAATAGTCAAAGCTGGAAAAATCTCAGCAGCAAAATAAAATACTATTACCTTATAACTCCAAGTATAAAAAAAATACCCATAAGTCCATACTGATATAAATGATTAAATAAATAAATGGGAGACAAGAGATAAATCTGACACTTTCCACAAACATTGGAGAAACCTGACTAACACTACCCCAGCCACGTGGTCAAAGTTGTCATCAACATTCATAAATCATATTGATAGTATGTACCCTTGATATGATGTATTTTTACTTTCAGTAACCCAAAACCCCAGTCCCATCTTGAGAAAAACACCAAACAAATTCCAGTAGTAGGGCATCCTACAAAAAATCCAACCAGCACTCCTCAAAACTGTCAAGATGATAAAAAACAAAGAAGGTCTGAGAAACTGTCACAGCCAAGAGAAATCTAAGGAAACTCTGCAACTAGTGATATACTAGTTGGGAATCCTGGAACAGAAAACACACACACACACACACACACACACACACACACCCACAGAAAATCTGAATAAACTATGGACTTTGGTTAAAAATTGTATTGGATCATTAATTGTAACAAATGTTCCATAGTAATGTAAGATGTTGTTAACAGAGAAAACTAGTTATAGAGTATGTGGGAATACACTGTACTATCTTCTCATTTTTATTTCTGTCAATCTAAACTGTTCTAAAAATAAAGTCTATTAAAAAATATCCTACCTCTCTTTCAAGGCCCATTATAAGTCCTGCCTCCTGCAAGAAACTATCCCTGAGCCCCTCAAACTAAATGAGACCTGTCCTTCCTCAGAATCCACCTTACAAGTCCTCTGTTGAGCACTTACCATACTTGCCTAACAAAATTATTTAAAAACATATTTCATTTCCCCTAATCCATAAGCTTCTTAATGTCAACCAAAATTATATTGGCCATGTTATTCAATACAAAATTAAGTCAAAGCAATATTTAGAAACCAACTAATCCAAATGAAAGTCACTTTCAGTGATGGTGAGTTAATATCTCCTGGGTGGTTTCATGCTCCTTATGAACAACTCTAATAATTAGAAAGTTCCTCCTGCTGAGTTGAAACCAGCTGCTCTATAATTTCCCCATTTATCGCATGAATGAATGAACAACAAGTTAACTGGCTCTAGGAGAGGAAGGACACCTTCTGTTTTATCTAATACTATATCTCCAACACCTGGTACACAATAGACATTCAAAAAAATATTTGTTTTTGAATGTTTTGCTAGCTGGCTGGGGGAAGGACTATAACTTTTATTCCCCCAGCCCCGTTAAATTTAATATACTGTCTATCTGATGACAATCCGCTGTGTATCTGACGACAAGAGCGTAACATATATTCATTTAAATCTTTTCTTTTATTCCTCACCCAAGGACTGAGAATATTTTTCCCATTGATTTTTTAGAGTGGAAGGGATTGGAGGGGGGGGGGGGGTGGAGGTAGAGGAGGAGGAGAGAGAGAGAAAGACACATCAACGTGAGAGAGACATCCATTGGTTGCCTCCTTTCCCCACCAGACAGGGGCTGGGGATTGAACCTGCAACCGATACGTGCCCTTCACCAGGAATCCAATCCCCGGCCCTTCGCCTCCCCTGCTCTAACCACTGAGCGGGCAGTCACATACATTCATTTAAATCTTTACACTGTATATGTAGGGTTTTTTTAATGTATATATTTGTATTGATTTCAGAGAGGAAGGGAGAGATAGAAACATCAATGATGAGAATCAGTGACCATGGCCTGACCGGAATCAAACCGCGATCTCCTGGTTCATAGGCCGAAGCTCCAACACTGTGCCACTCCCACCGGGCTATATGTAGGGCTTACAAACAATTTTAACAAAAGCTCAAAGAGGCGAGGTGATTCCGTGCATTGAAGGAATTGGGACCAGTAGATCCCCAAGAGTGTACGGTTAGCGGCCAGGAATGAATCCTTAAACCGGGGCTGAGCCGGGGGCTCCCTCGGTACCGGAAACGCCCCGACCAGCCGCCGCGGGCGCACCCTCACCCTCCGGCGCTTTGTTGTTATGGTTTTGTTCGTGTCCCCCCAAGTTTTCAGTTTTAAATAAATTTAATGCTGCGCAACAATCTCCCGTAAATCCTTATCCCGCGCAGTCGGCTCAGTTCTCAAATGAGAGAGGTTGGCCTACAAAGATCGTCACGGCCTCTTCCATTCTTTACTTTCAAAAAATTGTTTTTCTGGGGGCGGGCGTGCAAGAGATTATGAGCAACATCTATACATAAAATAAATAAATAAAAATATAAATCCGCAGGTGGATGACCAGGTTTCTCAAAAAGAAGCCGGTCTACAAATCCTACGGGAAAAACCTGAGGAAACCCCTTTCCGAACACCGGACTCCCGAGGAAGAAAAGGGCGGGAAGGATCCTCTCTCCGCCCCTCCACCCCCCATCTGAGCCCCGACGCAAAGGTGTGATCGTGGCCAGTCTGAGGAAACACACACATTGCCAGAAGAACAAAGCATGAAAAATGTAAAGTGCCTGGGCCTCAGGAGCCTCCTCCCCAAGCTGCAAACATACCAGATCGGTAAGTCCTTGAAGCCAGCTCGCTGCTCCCAAGCTTCCAGAACCTTCTGTTGGAGCGAGAAGCGCTGCTGGCGGAGCAGAGAGGCCCGAGAGCCTCTCTAGCCCACCGAGCACCTTCTCCACTCTTTGGGCTTCCGTGCAGCCGCAAACCCGGCTATCATGGCCCCGCCCCCTCTGCCCTGGCCCCGCCCCTTCTGCCCTGGCCCCGCCCCCTCTGCCCTGGCCCGGATCCACGTTCCTTGCTCTTCAGGTCGCAAATTTGCACCAACTGTCCTAAGAAAGAAAATGCAGGATGGTTTTTTTGTTTTGTTTTGTTTTGTTTCGTTTCCAGTCAGACTTAATTGCCTGGAATTGATTTTTCACAATTTTCTAAATTTTTTGCCCTACTACTGTAAACAACATAAAACCAAAGTGCCCTTTGGTTTATCAAATTATGAAAAAATAAAGACTAACATATTCATTAATGCTTGTAAGTATAACATAGAGAATCCTGTGTGTTTTCAATTTGGGACGTAATTGTTTTTAGGCCTAATTGAAGCTCAGCAAGTTATTATGCGCTGGTGCTCACAATTGTAAAGATTTAACAAGGAAGAAAAAAAACACAAAACACTTGCTTGGAGCCTAATAGGGTACAAAACTGTTTATGTGTCTAACTTTATAAAACATGTATTCCTGAAAAGAAAAAAAAAAGTGCTCCAGGAAAAATCCTTTGAAGTATACGTGTAATATGGATTAACCCCTAGAGTGCCGGGGAGCGCGATCACACTCCTCCTGCGGTGTCACTTTTAGATGCTAGTAGTTCAGTCTTTATTGACAGATGGCACCTAAGTGCAGATTTCCTAAACTGCTGTAAAATCAGCAAAAATGCCTTGGCAATTTTAGCATAGTTCCTAGGATATTGGTTGGCACTCAAAGGGTTAATTACTCCATAATAATTCATGAGGATACTCATTTTGAAAATTTGGAGTTTGGTATAACTGATACTATTAAAATTAAGTGCACTCTTTCGCTGCCCCTGTTGGGCAGTTTGTTAGGACAAATCACACCTTCTGGGTTTGGGAACTCAAGGAATTGTCTCAATGGCTGTTGTGGGCAGAAGAGTTGTTGCCAGAGGGTCCCCCTTGGAAGGCCCTCACTGTTTCAGAGCAGGCTAACAGCAGAGGGTGGGGAAGGCATCCGAGATTAGGCAACAGACAGTCCAACAAGTAAAGTGCAAGACAGCATTCCCTCTCCACCCGTGATACTACGATGACGACTTCACTGGGTTGCGAGTAGAAACTAGTTCTGGTAATGAAACGGGCAAGTGCAAAGAAGGGTCCTTTCTGGGGAGGGAACTGAAGGTCTGGGCAACTCACCCGAATAGGGATGGGGAGGAAAACTCATCTTACTGAGAACCTACTTTGTATCAGGTACTGTACCAGATACTTTACATACACTCTGTTAATCTCCATAAATGCTGTGAGTGCATGTTATTCTCATTTTAAAGATGAGGAAACTGGGACTCGGGGATTAAGTTTTTTGGCCAAGATAACATAGCAAGTGAGAAAAGAGCTGGGATTCAAATCTACATGTGTCAGATGTCTAGGCACAGCTTCTTCTCCACACATGAACCCAGTTACAAGATCTGGAACACACCATTTAGGTCACATGAGTAGCAAAAATGACTTAACAGAAATCCACAGACCACGGAGATAGCATTGATTGTTTAGTCTTCCTTCCTTTCTTTAATTTATCCTTCATTCAGTCAATCAACAAATATTTAACTGTGTAGAAGAAAGAGCCTAGTGTCTGGAGTCAAAAAGCCTGGCTTTATAGCATGCCTCCACCATTTACTTAGGTTTGTGACCACAGATAAGCAACAGCTCAGTTTACTTATCCTAAAATAAGGATAATAATTATGCCAGTTCATAGGTCGATATATGTTAGTTTTTTAAAACAGTGCCTAAAACATAAGCACTCAATATGTTTACCTGCCATTATTATTATTATTCAAATGTTCGCTTAATGTTATCTGCCAATCGTACTATTATCTGGCCAGCCCATTAATTCTTCCACTCTCCCAGATAACTGCTTCATACTTTCTCCTCTCTTCAAATCTCCAGCACCTCTTCTTCATCCTCACTTTCAGCTGAAAATCTTGCTTACTTTTTAAGTGAGATAAAAGCATCCAAATGTGAGCTTCCACTGGTGCCCACAAGCACATTTACCCATGTACTCTTAATTTATACCCACAGAGTTTGCTTTTCCTCCAATTATAATAGATGAACTGTGCATGCTCTTATATAATGCCAACTGTCCAGGTGGACACCGCGTCCCACCTCTTCTTGTTTACTCAAGAATACAGCTCTAACAATTCTCTCCCGTCGCTCTTACAACATCAATTTTCTCCTCTCCACTGACCATTCCCAAGCACAAATAAATATGCTCTTATTTCTCTGATTTAAAAATCTCTTGATCCTGCTCCCACTCCAGCTAACCATCCCATTTCTCTGCTCTCCTTCACAGTAAAATGCAAAAAGATTGTGTAACGTTTGTACTTCTAATGCCTCTTCTCCCATTCTTTCTTAAACTTACTCCAATCAGGCTTGTTCATTTTCACCTTGCCACAGAAATCGCTCTTGTCAAGGACATTGCTAAATCCAGCAGACAATTTTCAATACTAATTTTACTTGGCGAGTCAGTAGCATTTGTTGCAGTTGGTCACTTCCTCCTCTTGGAAACACTTCCTTCCCTTGGTTTTCCCATACTGTACTCTCGTGGTTTGCCTCTAACCTCACTGGCCACTTTTCAGTAACATTTATTGTTTTTCCCTAATTCCCAAACTCTTGGAAGCACCCCAAGTGCAGTTCTTGGACCTCTTCTCTGGCTATATTCACTCCCTCAGTGACCTCATCAACTCATGGTTTTGCATATACTTCACATGCTAACAAATCCCAAATGTCTATCTCCAGTCTTAGCCTTTGCCCTAAATTCCAGATTGTTATAAGCAATTGCTTATTAAATTTCTACTAACAGACGTCTCAAATTTCAGATGTACAAAACTGAACTTCTAATTTCCCCTTGCAAACTTGTACCACCCAGTCTTTCTCATCTCAGTTAATAACTCAAATTTTTCCTGTTGTTAAATGAAAATACCTTGCCTTTCTCTGATCTGCCCCATCTCATCCATCAGAAAATCTTATTGCCTGTACCTTTAAAATATATCCAGAGCCTGACCACCTGCCTGGTCTGAATCACCATCAACTCTCACCTGGATTATTGCAGTAGCCTCCTAACAGGTCTCCCTGTTTACGTGTTGCTCCTTACAGTCCCTTTTCAACATAACAACCAGGGTAATCCTGTTAAAATAGAAGTCAGAATTAAGCTAAAGTTCTTATGATGACATACAAGGGCCCAACTCATCCAATCCCCGTATTACCTATCTAACCTCTTCTACTACTCTCTCTCTCTCACCTGCTTCCTCTGCCCAGCCACATTGGCCCCTCGCTGTCTCATGTTGTAAATGTTTCCCTCCACGTCCCGTGTGGTTCAGGGTTCAGGATCTGGAAGAGGAGCCACACACAAATGAAAGAGAAAAGACAAGAGATAATTTGGGAATATTGGGGGGCCAGGCGGGTAAGTCCAACTCAAGAGGAAGGACTTCCACGGGTGCTCAGGCGGTATCAACCTTTTATAGTCAGAGGTAAACAAGGTAGTGGTTACCATAGTTACACTGTTCTTGTGAGTTTCACCTGTTTTGACCATAGTTACACTTCCTGCACTTCCCTCAGCCCATTAGCCTCCCAGATAAGATCCACGGAGTGTTATAAGGTCAAGCCTAATTAGGCTAAGAGGACTGAGCCCTCTAAGCTGGGACTTGTTTGTGACTTTGCCAGCAGGTCAGTCCGAGGCTCAACCCTATATCGGTTCCCCACAGTCTCATACCTGTCAAGCATGCTCCTGACAGGACTTTTGCACCAGCTTTTCTGTCTAACGTGCTCTCCTTCCAGATATTTTCCTAGTTCACTCTCTCTCTCATCTTAGCTATCATCTTCCAATAAAGCCCAGCTTGACTTCCTAATTTAAAATATTGGAACCACTCTTGACTCCTTTTAGCTTGCTTTGTTTTTTAATAGCACTTTTCACCTTCTAACATATCGTACAATGTCTGTACTTATTGTGTTTGGTGTTTACAGCCTTTCTCCTCTCACTAGAATGTAAATTCCACAAGAGCAGGGACTTTCGTCTGATAAATCTCTAGCACCTAGAACAGTGGTTCTCAACCTTGGCTGCACATTAGAATCACCTAGGCATCTTTTTAAAATCCTGATTTCTGGGCCTCATCCTCGGATGAGGGTAGCTGGGCCTCAGAGGACGAGGCCCAGAAATCAGGATTTTTAAAAGATGCCCAGGTGATTCTAATGTGCAGCCAAGGTTGAGAAACACTGACCTAGAATAATGATTGGTATCTGTTAAGCACTAATGAATAATGTCAAAGGTTGAAGTATCATTCATCCTCACACATAAAGCCCCTTCTGTTTTGTGCCTCAGTGATAACATATCACACTTCATTGAATATTAGCATCCATAAGTTAAATAGTAGGAATGGGAGCTTCTATTTTTATTAAAATTCTTAACCTTATTACTTTTAAGTATTAACTAATTTATTTCAACCTTTGGTTTTCTGGGTCCAAGCCAACTAATTTGTCTGAGAGGTATTTGCTGGAAATAAATGTTTAACAACTTATTCTGCTAACCAGTTTTCTTGGGGGGTGGGGGGGTAGCGTTTATGTATTACCATGATTTATTCATTAACAAAACAAATAAGGCTGTTTGAGTTGTGCTTTTAAAGGTGTCTACATGATTCAGGCTCAAATATATTGAAATTGAATAAACATAATTTTGGCAACTCCATAACAGCCCAACTTCCTGATTCATTACTCCCTAGAATTCCCACACAGAAATATGTTCAATTTACATTCCTGCTTAGTGTCAGAAGATTCCTAATCCAGCAACTGTGAGAAAGTTATAATGAAAACTTAATTCCAGAAATTGTTGATTTCTGGATTGAAAATGTAAACTTCAACTTGAAAGCATAGAATATATATATATATGTATATATATGTAAATCTTGCAAT